TATAATAAAATCTTTGGCACATTCAACTAGACATATTAAGACTTTTAAATTTGTTGTTTTGTTTTGTTTTGTTTTGTGTTGTTTTGAGACTGCATATATATTTCTGTAGGATCACATCTCTCGAAGGAACTCAGTGTAATCATTGTATTGTATTGTATTGATAGGTGGTCCAAACAAAGAGTTTTAGTTTTTGGTCCAGTAGATTTACTTTTTTTTCCTGCTAAACATTTATATTTTAGTGCATCACAATCTTTAGCCAACTCGCATAGAGTTCTGGCTCCATTCTGGTGTTTTATGTCACATTGCTGAAGTAAAACGTGTTGTGAATGTCATTTCATGTTGTTTTAGAGATTTACAAATGCAAAAGCGAGAGCTTGCTTGAATTCAGAAACACTGCTAATTGCTCACCGGTGGTTTGCACCTCCTAGAGCTGCTCAATTCTGCTGAATGTTTAATGCATTTCTGTTGATGGCACATAAATGTAGTTTGAGTGACGGTTCGGCTTGATTCATATGACTTATAGGTGCTAGCTTTAGCAGCTTAATGCCGTCCACCCACAGAAACGACTGCAGAGACGGTCCATAAAAGGTCTGCAACATACTCAATGCAATGTGAAAATGCATGCGTTGTATAACTTAGAAAGTGAAACTATTTAAATTTATGAATAATGCATTTAATGCATGTTATTTTTTTTAGGCTAAATGTCCTGATGTGGCGTGCATTTGGTTTGCCTTTCTTGTTTTGTATTTTTCAGAGCTAATTTTCTGCGCTATAGATTTTAAATCAGTATTTCGCTCCGCCGCTGAGAGATATCGACTGGCTTTATGGTGCCGCAGTTCGATAAGCAAAAGAGGATAATTCATTTTGTTTTGAATATTTTTGTAGAAAGCTGGTTCTTGTTTGAAATAGCATGGATTTGTGCGCCGGGCTCTGATGGTCCGTCGTAGGGACTGACCTTTGCTCCATGTGGCATACGTGGTATTTCCCCGCAGCCTCTGCTGATGTGCCCTTCTCACCTGCATTGATTGGCAGGCCTGTGAAGACATTCAGACGGCGTCTCGCGCAGCTCTGGCCTCATTCACTGTATCGATTGTAGAAATTGTGTGGTTTACCAAACTTTCACAGAAGCAGCCTGGTAAGGCCTTTTGGAAATTGACAGTATTGAGCTGATTGCGTCGACCGGAATTGTTTTTTTTAAGGGATGATGCCAATAGCGCTAACTCAAGGGCGTATATATGTGATATGGGTTAATGTAGTGTAATTATAGCAATTCCCAGAAGAAAAGCTGCTCTTTTATACTTCAGGAGAGTTAGTGGAGCTCTCGTGCATGTTTCTGTATCAACTTTGGCTCAGATGTTTCTCCTAGCATGCATGAAAAAAGTGTAGAGCTGGAAAATGAATGTGGATTGCAGCTCAGATCAGAGAAATGTTCATGTTGAGGGCTCTGATTTTTGAATGAAGATATTATTCACATCTCCTTAGATCTCTTTTGAAATTGTAGTAGATATTACTAAAATAAAATAAAATAAAGTTTCAGCTAGCTGCCAAAGCAACATTTATTTAGTGTAACTTGATGTACTAAAATAACTAAAACAAATATAATTCCGAAAATAATAATAATAATAATAATAATATATACATAATAAAAATGACAAAATACACAACAAAATGACTAAAAATATACTAAAAACAAAATAGAAAAAAAAAAAAATTACTATAATGGTATTTTAATAATACAAAAAAATACACTACTACATGACTAAAAATAAAGTTATTATTAATCATTTAAAGTTAGTTAAAGTTTCTGGACATGGTACATATATAATTTTCAAAAATTCAGCTTTACTGTAATTGCCAAAACTTATATTTAATAGTTTTTTTTTTTTGTAATGATAACAACACTGTTTTACACAATCACGCAAGTACACATATGGACAATTGTGAATACTGTAGGAAGTCTAAAAATAAGAAATGAAATCACAATTGTAATACCTTAAGATAAATAAACTTTCAATTGCATAACTGAAGTGGATATAGTTATGATACTGATCTATTGTATTTTTTTTTATATGCAATAGATGCATGTTGAATTTACATATTCAGGCATCTTGTATTAAAACAACTTTATTTGCGTACAACTTTCTTTGATGATCTTTAATTTGCTAACTGTGGTTCGTTAGCTCTCCTCTGAGAAATAATCATATTTTGCGACATATTTCAAGATTAAAGATTCCTCCTGTGACACGCTAAAGTCTAAAGGATGTGATTTCACAGAACAAATGTAACCGTTGTGAGAAATTCATAATCTGTTATTAATTTTCTCATAAAGCCGCAGGGGTTTGCATTCATCTCAATTCGAGAGACCGCAGGAGATGTTCTGCCATCATTAGCCTCGAGCTGCAAAAAAACCCAGAGCGATCGGTGATCACGCTGTTTTGGAAGAAAACAGACGGCTGTGGCATTTCATCAGAGCCAATGAGTTAGAGTTTCACAGGAAATGAGAAACATCAGGCCGCTGGTTTATTCTTATCCTGATGAATACGCCACCTCTGGTCTGGGGTCAGACGGCCGAGGAAGTATCATTTCAGCTTCATCCTATGAGCATTCGTCTCTTTCGGCTTCTGAGGCTCAATTATACTGCATGATGTCTGAAAGGTTTCGTGTGCACAAGGACACGTTCACTGCAGAAAGGGTTTGTTTACTGACGCACATTAGATCCTGAACTTAGAAGTGCATGGACACGGTTTATGAATTATACAATGATCAGAGCGAGATTCTATGCAGTGCATTATGGAGATCTCTAGACAAACTCTATAAAGTCACTGTATGTGTGATGACTTATTTTTCTTTCTTATTGGTTGAGATGTACATATATACAGTGAAATGCCACTGAACACAAATGATGACATGAAGACAAGCTTTAAATAGCCAAATCTGGTTTGTATAAATGACTTTGCAAAGCATTTGAGTGAATTTCTATGCAGTGCAGTTAAAAGCATTTTATCTGATCATGTGCTGCAAAAATTACAATATAGCATATATACTGAAAAGAAAATCGAATTGCTAGTAAATTTTGAAATTGATTGCAACAGCAATAACATGTTAAATTAAATGTTAAATTCAAATAGAAAGAAATGCTGTATTTTATTTCAGCTAGCTACCAAGAAACAATTGCCATTCTCATTTACTTAAACTGAAATAAAA